CCCCCCCCCCACCAAAAAAAAATTTAAAGAAATAAATAAAACGAAAATGGATAAAAGAACAACAGAACAAACAAGAAAAAGAAGAAAACAAACAGAAAACAAATGAACATTATATCAATAGAGTAGCAAGATCATTAGTTTAGGTTGTGGATGGCTCGCATGAATAAACAAGAGTGATAGGTATCACTGCTTGTATACATCCACCATTTGGCTCAATTCAAACATGTAAGATTATTTCAAGCTAAGCAGCAAGAGATGAACAAATAAAATTACTCAAAATATCCTTAGCAAACCAAGTGAAGGAAATTACTTTCAACGGTCATGCCTCGAATACCAACACCTGTATTTTGTATTATACATATCTAATACAAAATATGATTTTCCATCCAAAAAACTAAAACGATCTTTGTCATCAAGCAAAAGAATGAAACATAAACTCATATGAGGACATGAAGCAACTAGTATTAGAGTTGAACATGTGTTTCTCTTGAAAGAAAAACAACACATGATAACCAAGTATTAAAAGGCACAATCATAAATTGATATGTGACTGAAAGAATGAACATAACAGTAGAGTGAAAGCAAAAATTAGATTTAAAATGCAAACCTTTTGCAACAATGAGGCCAAACTGATACCAGGTAAGCTTTCCGAAGGGCTCCATCTTGGTGAAATTTAACACTAACGCAACCGGGAGAAAAATCAAGAGATTAAACATTCCAAGATAACCCAGAAACTCAGCCATACTAGCTTTTCCTTCGCCCTTTTTCTCATCAGGAAGTTTTTTTCGAATGAGTGTGATGTAAACAGCATATAAGCAAGCAGAAACAAGAGCTAGAATGTCTCCAAGTACAGGGTTTCCAACAATAGCATTCGCTCCACTTTCTGAATCAGCAAGACCCACTATTATAGTCCCTCCCATGCAGAGTAGAACACTAATTAGCTTTATCCATGTAAACCTTTCTCCTAAGAATGCCAAAGAAACCAAGAAGGTGAAAAGGCTAGAGGTGCTGCTTAAAATGGTATTTGACTGCAGAAAGAGAGAAATGTTCATTATGACTCCATTAGCAAGTTGACGAACAACGCTAAACTAACTGTGACATATATGTCAATATCATATTAAGATACTTACTGTCACAGTGGTGTATTTAAGAGAGAGATTGAACGTCAGTTGAGCGAAAAACCAGAAAGGACATATCAACAAGCTGACTTTTGCAACCTGAAAGCGTGTCCAGCGACCGGGTGGATCAGACTGCCTTCCTTGCTGAACAAGAGCATCACCTAAAATAGGTGATGGTCTTTCTTCATCTTGATCACTGGAGCTTATTATAGATGTATTTCCATCTCCATAATGGCTTATTAAGTTATCCTGGTCGACATTGTCCTGTAGAAGGCTGACAGTTTCAGGTTTCTTAGATTGTTGCTCTTTTATATTATTCCAATTTGTATGCCAACACCCAATACGACCAAGCAACCCCTCACAACACCTTCCAACCTCTACTATAGGGATGTAAACCAAGAATAGAGAGTTACAGATATAGGATAATAGAAAAGGTGAGACTCCAGCATCTACAACAGACTGAACAAGGTAACTAGCAGCAATCCATATAGATGCAACAGCAATTATATATATCAAACCAAGAGCCCAATCCCATGTATCTCTGCCTATTCCTTTGGGAACCCATTTCATTTTGTGGTCCTTTTAAAGCTGGAAGAAACTGACTGCTTCCTGTTCAGTAAAACAGAACTATTTAAAATTGCCTAGGAATAAAGCTTTTGTCTATACACTTCAGCATAATAGCAGTAATCTACTAACTTCTAGGCGCAGTAGCACTTTCTATCACATATTTTCCTTATAATATGCTGAGAACTTTCTTTTCTTTTCTGTGATATGCCAATATAAAACTGGTTATGCTCACAACCATGATCAATTCTCAATGCATAAAAACTTGCCTATGGACTTTGTTTATGGAAATACAAAGGTGTTAAACCAAAAAAAGTCGAGCTTTTATTAATGATAATTATGAAGAATGTATAAGAATGCTTCATTATGTGTTTCAGTGTTTCACAAACAAACAGACCACACACACCAAGTCCCAGACAAGTGGAAAAGATTTTCCACATCAAGAGAAGTATTTGTGCTTTCTGTATTACACATCCAATGGTGAATATTAAGTATCGATCTCTAGTTTACATGGTATTTATGAAACTCACTCATGCTACTCCAAAGTTACAACATGAAGTCTTCATGTTAATGGTAAGTTGGTAAAAGGACTTGTTGCCAGCAGACATCAATATGAATCATATTTACCAACGTTAGGATTCTTCGGAAATATGCATTTTGGTATGTATTAAATCTTCACATGTATAGACATAGAGGAACAACATTTTACGTACATCAGCAGTTTGGCAGAGCTGAATACAATCAACCAAAACATTTCAAGACAAAATGACCATCCTGGATAAGTACCAGCTACTTCTGTCCCAAGCATCTATTTAGGAAACAGCAAACAATAATAGCCAAGTACAGAAGGAAAAGATTTACTGCATCTTCATGCCATCGTTGTTTCATTAAGCTGTTGAATGTTCTTTGCCAATGCTTCGAAAAATTAAAATTAATGATGCAGACAGCTCAGCGTATCATGGTGAAACAGAAATTAGATAAAGAGCAAGAGATAGTCCATCAGAAGAATACTTTACTAAAGCATACACCACTTACAAAGTAGTTTGCGTGATGTTTTCAACAAGTATGATGCAGTATGCATATAATGCCAAAGGTAACCATGAAAATTAAGTAACTCTTCAATCATTCCAACAAAATATTATCAGCAGACATATATAGCAACATTTTGATACCATACTAGGAAACAGCATATATGAGGATTGTGGACCATGCTGGCCGCTTTCACTGCACCAAACTCTAAAGTTGGGGTGAGGATTGAGAGATATATAATTTTATGATGTAGCATCCCAACAGGATGGGTGACCTTTTCATGGGATGAAATCTGCACTCAGGCAGCTATATTTTTCTTAAGCAGCTTTAAATGTGTTAGCTCTGGGACATGGGCAGTGATACGATGCTAAAAGATCATTTCCACTACACTGAAACTCCAAAGAGTCGTGAGGGTTGAGGATTATAATTTTATACTCGACATAAATATGAAGCCGGAACTTTCTCGGATATATATGTCCAAGACATTAATCACTGTAGTCTTTGATTGATAAAGGGGTTTTAACAACTAGAATTTGTTAGTTAAGAAGCACTTCAAGAGGCCGAAGCTTGCGTTTCATGTTACTGCACAGTGCTCAGTCGTTGAGTGCCTTCAAACAGTTGAATTATGTATACACAGTTCTAAACCCAATGTGAATTAATCAATAGTCTAGATTACTAGTCCTAATGTGTGCAAGATAAAACAATTACACAAACTATAATGAAATTCGTGTCTTAGAGAACCAATTAAACCCTAAATTGTGTAGTAGCCCTAATCAAGTTAAATAAAATGAAATCAGAAGCTACTAAACTATTGAACTTTGCCCTAGATATCGGAAAATGGAACAGAATAATTTTAGGTAAATGATTCGTTGGATGATAAACGAATCACCTGAAAAGATCGAATCTTGTCGGCGAGAGCAATCTTCACCAGATCCTTTGAGTGGTGACGATTTCCACTCAATTTTCTTTTCTTTTCTTTTCTTTTCTCTTTGGGTTTCTCCTCAAAAACGCACCTAGAGCCCTCCCTCCAGATCTTTTTGCATGCAGGCGCCTTATTTTCTAATATTTATCAACTACTGATAAGACGCCGGCTTTGTACTCGATTTTGTGACTTCTAAGATTAAATTTCAAAAGTATCATGAATGGATTTGCATAAAAATATTACAATCTATATGTTACATGAAAATCCTATAATATATACTAGTACTCTTGGTGCACGCGATGAGTGCATGAACAATACTCATTTATGCAAAGGAAAAAAAATTTAGCAAAAGCTTAATAATTGATATTAACAATAAGATAAATAGATATATGAAAAAAAATACTCCCGTTGTGCACAATGCATGCATGAACATTACTCATTTGTGCAAAAAAATGTTTAGCAATAACTTAGTAGCTGACATTGACAATAAGATAAATAGATATATTAAAAATTTATCAAAGTTTATATGAGTAGGTTTCATTTTCATATGTTGTGCGCGGCGGCCAAATTGTTGTGTTTCGAGGAACCAAACCAAAACGTCGAGATAGAATGCTAAACAATCCAAGATAACGGCACAAACACAAATAACCCAACCTTAACAAATGCCACAGTCTAGCCAAATTCAAAGAAGTCGTCAGCTCTCTACCAATCACTGTGCTTCCAATCAAATAATACGAATTTTTCCTCCTAACGCCCTTCATCACAATAATGGACCCAAATGTGACATTCAAACATGCAATCTCTTAGGTCACCCTATAGCCTGCTGCCTCCAAAAACTCCAAGCGAAATGATGTTCTTCTTCAACTGAGGAATGAACCTTACTTCATCCAACTCCCGAATCACCCCATCACACATCCTAATACGAACGGTACTGATACCACAAATAGGGCATTCATGATCATTACCCATAAGCACGACATCCTCTCTTTCCAACTCTTGAAAGCTGGAGAACCAATCCCTCCTAGGAAAAATATGGTATGACGCACCCGAATCCAACATCCATTCTTGAGAGTCGGCAATACAAACTGACGGTAGTGCAGATAACGAGTAGCCTGAAAAATCTGAATCTGAATTGTTGCCACTACCCTTGGCAACATTCACATCTGAAGCTTGAATAGCTTTCCCATTATTCTTCCATACTCGATCTGTCAACTTTGGGCATTCGTCTTTCCAATGTCCATCTTCTTTACAAAAGACACACTGATTCCTACGAACTCCAAGATATGCCCCTCTAGACTGTGACCTCCTACTACGGTTTGGACTTTTTGCTCTTACGACTAATACCCCCGCTACTAGCTCAACTAAAGTCTTCTTATCCTTCTTTCGAAGCTGATAATTCACAAGTGCAGCAGTGACCTCACTATATGAAAGAGATGTCTTCCCATTAATAAGAGTAAGAACGAAGGTCTCATATTCCTCGTCAGGTAAGGAACTCAACAACAACAACATATTGTCCTCATCTTCAATTATCACATCTACATTCGCCAAATCTACAAGAAGCTTCGTGTAGTGATTCATATGATCACCAATGGAGGTTCCTTTCTTTAATTGGAAGCGATAAAGCCTCCTCTTTAAATACAAGCAATTCTCCACACTCTTGGTCAAATACTTTCTCTCAAGGATCTCCCAATTCTTATTAGTTGAAGTCTTATCGATCACATTATATTTCAAATCTTGAGTCAAACAAGATCTAATCATACCACACGTCGTTCTATTCATCTTCTTCTCACCGTTTTCACAATTCTCCACCTCGAGGAAGTTTTCCCAAAACTAAGCCGACACTAACCAAATCAAACGTCTCACTTGTTGCGTCCAGTACGAAGTAGAGCAAAACCACAACAACGAACTCAATCCACAATAAGTCGAGAATACAAACGAGAAATGCGAACAAACTCTAAATATCGGTATTAACTGACCAAACCGGCTGCACCATAAATGACTGCCTACGTATCCTCTTGCCTAAAGAATCAAGCCTTCACATAGTTCACCCAACAGCCTCCAAGGGCCCTTCTCCAACTTCATCAACAAATCTGCGGCTGATAGCTCTCAAAATCGCCCCAAAGTGAAACAATCTAAACACCTCCACCTGAGGTGAACTAACAGCCATAACTAAATGTGAACTATGTCTACCAGCTGCACTCGAATCCAAAACCAACTCATCATCTGCATTCAAAACCAAATGATCCCCAAACTATGTCACCTCAGCTGGAATCCCAAATGATACAGTATGATCTGGAGTATGTGGAGTAATCTCTACCCAACGTGGAGTAGCATCACTCTCCACCCGCTATGATATCCCAATGATCTGATCAACACTCTCCACCTGTTGAGAGTCGAATATGACATACCTACTCAGAACAAAATCATAGTCTCCCAACTTATAACCAAACGAGCCTCTGAATTCCAAATGTGCAATCGGATTAAATCTCACATTCTCGATGTGATCAAATGTTGGGCTATCAAACATCCGACGCAATCCAAAATCTGAAGCAGCTCCACTAGATCCAAAATCTTCAAATGCAGCAGTCGGCAATCTATAAACAAGATGACCCACATATATCGAAGCCCGAACATCAAAATCAATGCTCGACATCAAACGTTGATCCTCCTCCAAAAATATCATCTCATCTCATTGCCCCAATGTTTCCTCTCCAATAAAGTGTCTCCAACAGCCATGAGCTCGGCACAAACGCAAGATACCAATATTTTTGATTTGTGGACATAGGCAACTTTTCAAAGCACGTTAAAATTGGTTGTTTGAATTCGTGTCGTTATTTTGAATTGTTTTTGGCCTTCTCTCTCGGCGATTGGTTTAGATTCTCAAAGCACATCAGTTGTTTGGCTTCCGCCGCACACAACACCATAAACAACAATAAATTATATCAAAATATAATGAATATTTTGTTTTTGGTCTATAACTTCAGGATATAGATTGTATATGTACAACCATACAAAATTCAATTGTTCATTAACATTATCAACCCATCTCTTTAAGCAAAAATAAAGCTAATCGAACAAAGTCAATAAAGTCATAGAAAGCCCTATAATTCAATGTGCATGAGATTTGCAAGTGATCTCTGTCTCCCTAGAGAAAATTAAAAGATGAAGAAAGTAAAGAAGAAATTGAACCTAAGTGTTGCAAAAGAGTTTGATTTAATCTGAAAGATTGGGATGTCCAATGTGTAGGGATAATTGTTGAAATAATATTATTGATGCTATTAAATTGTAATTAAGCAAAATAAAATCTTATTTATGAAAAGGTAATATAAAAAATTAGAAAACCTTTTAATTTAAACATGTACGTGTGATTTAATTGTAAGAAAATCCTATAATTTTGTTGGAATATCAAATTAAATTGTTAGAATAAATGAGATTAATAGCATGAGTTTTAGAAGTGTAAGGTTATAAGTTTAGAAGGGGAAGAGACATAGGTTATGGAAGAATACGAGTGAAGAGACATAGGTTATGGAAGAATAAGAGTTACTCACTCCTTTATGATATTTTATCTTTATGACATTAAAAGAGGAGTTTAATTTGTGATTATTGGTATGCCTATACGTTTTGTTTTTGAAGCCTATATAAAGGGCTATTGTAATCCTTATTTGATCAAGAAAAAAATTAAAGAAATAAAAGTAAGTTCTTTGTGTTCATTTGGGAGAGTTCTAAGTTCGTAAACTTAAGAGTCAACAATGATATCAGAGCCATGTGATCTAATTTTCTCATTCTCTCTTCTTCTCATGGCCACCACAAATTATCTTGTCAATCCTCAAGTACCCAAATTATCAAAAAATAACTATGAGAGTTGATCGATCCAAATGAGAGCCTTATTTGGTTCTCAAGAGTTATGGGAGCTGATCGTTGATGGGTTCACGGAACCTACACCAGCAGTAGAAGCCACCTACACCGTCGAAGAGAATACTCTTAGAGAGTAAAGAAAGAAGGATAGCAAGGCTCGTTTTCTACTCTATCCAGGGTTGGACGAGTCTATCTTTGAGAGAGTTGTCGAAGCAACTACGAGCAAGGAAGCATGGGAAATCCTTGCTACCATCTACAAAGGTGTCGAGCGAGTGAAGCGAATTTGCTTCCAAACTTTGATGGGTGATCTTGAAGCTACTCAAATGAAAGATGAAGAAAAAAACTTCGATTATTATTCACGATTACTTCTAATTGTGAATAAAATGAGGAGGAATGGAGAGAAGATGGAAGACATCCGAATGATGGAGGAGTTGCTCCGATCCCTCACACCAAAATTCGAGCACGTGGTGGCGGCAATTGAGGAGTCAAAAAATTTGGAGGAGATCTCAATAGAGGAGCTCTTGGGATCTCTCCAAGTTCATGAACAACTAATGCAAAAGAAGGCTAGTTCCATAGTTTTGGAACAAGTACTAGAGTCAACATTGATTCTAAGTAATCAAGGCTCACAAGGTAGAGGTCGTGGTTGTGGTCGTGGTAGAGGCAAGGGACGTGGTCCCCAACAACAAACCGCTTAAAATCAAGTAGTGACTCAAAGCTTTAGAGGACGAGGATGAAGCAATCGTGGAAGATTCACCCCTGGGCATGGAAACAACAAGAATGTTCAGTGATAAAACTATCATAAGTTTGGGCACTATGCTTCAGATTGTTGGCATAAAACTGAAGACCAAACTAATATTGCCAAAGCAACAAATGATGTGGGTAACAACTCTACGCTTCTTCTTGCTAATGATAATTCAAGTGTTGAGAATGATGATTGATACTTTGACTCGGGTGCTAGCAACCACATGTGCGGGAAGAAAGAACTTTTCACGGAACTCGTAAAAGGAGTTCATGGAAGTGTGAGCCTCGGAGATTCTTCAAAACTCACGATTGAAGGCAAAGGGAAGATTAAAATCTACCAAAAGGATGCTAAGCCAGAGTATATTTCTGATGTTTACTATATTCCTAACATGAAAAGTAATATTCTTAGCATCGGTCAATTACTCGGAAAGGGATACAAAGTATATATGGAGAACAACCATCTTTTGTTGAAAAATGCAAATGGAAGCCTCATAGCTTGTGTTAAGATGACAAGGAACCGTATGTTTC